ATATTATCTGATTTATGCACGGGATTATTCGATTTGCTCACGAGATATGATTGGATTTATTCTTGAAAATTTTTAATTCTCTTATTGAGATAATGCTTGATATATTCACGAGGATGTTACTCGACCTATTCGAGCAAATATTTGCATAGAATGATTGCGCAAGTATTCGATCTATTCGTGGATTCAATCGATTTATTCATAGAATGATTGTCTATTTGAGGATAAACGCGGGTCATAATTCTGAACTGGGAATATTTTGCGATCGTGCTTGACGTGCGGTGGATATCTTTTCACTCTCGCATCGGTGGGATTGAGGACATGAATTATATAATTGGTTATTTTGATATATTCAGAGACTCTCATTTCGATTTTCATGAGCGCATGTAGAATTTTGTTTGAATTAAATATCCCATAACTTTTTGAGCATGTCATTGCTCGAGCATGCCTTGAATCGAGAAGATAACGATGTTCGTATTTGATCTCTTATTTTTCTCGCGTGAAAAATGATAAAATGGATGACGTGAATATAATGTTGATAACGACATCTCTTTGAATTCTTGTCGAGGAACCCACAGGATGATGCAAGTCTTGAAAAATTATTGAGATAAATGTTTGAGTGTCGAGGACAAAATGAGCGAGCACGAATCTACCAATGTGAGATGACAATGGAGGATAAGTTTTTATGGTGCTGATCACCGGTGGCAATCTCGAAGATAGAGATCAAGTCTCTTCTGGTGAGGTAGGCTAGTTCCGAGTGGTATTCTCGACTTTAAAGTGCATAATTAATCTCAACTCTCAACATCTATTTTGGTCGACATGATTTATCAACGCATTGAATTTCTTAGCATTCTTTCTTCGAGAAATGTGCACCATCCGAAAATATTGTGGAGAAATGGCGTTGGGATCATGGCTTACATGGATATGTTTCAAATCTTTATGTGGATAATTAACAAAATACAGAAAAAGAGGCATATGCAGAACCTTGAACAAAAATCGAGCAGGTTGATGTTGATTCTTGCTTGATCTTGTTGAAATTGTTTTTCGACCTCGGTGGAAGGTCGATTTAAACAACTACGAAGTTGTATCTCGAGTGGAATCTCAACTAAGCTACGAAGCTTACGACTACGAAGTCGATTTAAAAAACTACGAAGTTGTATCTCGAGTGGAATCTCGATTAAGCTACGAAGCTTACGACTACGAAGTCGACTTAAACAACTACGAAGTTGTATATCGAGTGGAATCTCGACTAAGCTACGAAGCTTACGACTACGAAGTCAATTTAAACAACTACGAAGTTCTATCTCGAGTGGAATCTCGACTAAGTTACGAATCTTACAACTACGAAGTTGCTTTTCAAATAGTCCATTATAACACGAGTGGATTCTCGAAAAGGCTACGAGGCCTACGACTATGAAGTCGATCTGAAAAACTGCAAAGTTGTGTTTCTCGAGTAGATTCTCGCGAAGGCTACGAAGCCTACAACTATGAAGTCAATTTATTGACAACGGTGAAGTTGCATATTTTAAATGGACTCTCAAAAAAAAAAAAAAATGGCTCACGACTAACTACGAACAAGTCAAACTATAGTTACAATACTAGTCATATCGCCAAAACGAACGTCAGTGCTCGACTTCGACCAGCTCGCACGACGGGTTGGGGGGAAGACGAGTTGAAAAACTTTTGTTTATCAGCTATGAAGCTGCTAAAATCGTTGCTCGACTTCGACCAGCTCGCACGACGGGTTTGGGAGAAGACGAGTTGAAAAACTTTTGTTTATCAGCTATGAAACTGTTAAAATCGTTGCTCGACTTCGACCAGCTCGCACGACGGGTTGGGGAGAAGACGAGTTGAAAAACTTTTGTTTATCAGCTATGAAGCTGTTAAAATCGTTGCTTGACTTCGACCAGCTCGCACGAAGGGTTTGGGAGAAGACGAGTTGAGAAACTTCCTTTTAATTTTGTCGAAATTCCTTTTCGACTTCGACCTGTGGCAGGTTGAGGTGCTCGAGCTGACCGAAGAAGAAAAATCCACCATGACTAAGGCCTCCGGGCTGGGTGGTCCACCATGATTAAGGCCTCCGGGCTGGATGGTCGAGGAAGACAAACCCACCATGACTAAGGCCTCCGGGCTGAGTTGTGGAAGAAGACAAACCCACCATGACTAAGGCCTCCGGGCTGGGTGGTCCACCACGATTAAGGCCTCCGGGCTGGGTGGTTGAAGAAGACAAATCCACCATGACTAAGGCCTCCGGGCTGGGTGGTCCACCATGATTAAAACCCATCGAGCGAAGATGGTCGTATGTGTCGACTACCCCTCCGAGGGTGGGTATGCGTTCGAGGAAAAACCCATCGAGCGAAGATGGTCATATGTGTCGACTACCCCTCCGAGGGTAGACAAGCGTTCGAACCTAGATAATCGATTGTTATAATATTTTGTTGTGCTCGATGTATTTCTATTCAAACCTTGGTGGAAGGTCGAGTGTATTCATTGTTGCTTGAGCAGGTCGATAATTTGAATTTGAACTTGATTCTGTTGAAATTGTTCTTCGACCTCGGTGGAAGGTCGAGTATATTCATTATTGCTTGAGCAGGTCGATGATTTGAATTTGAACTTGATTTTGTCGAAATTGTATTTCGACCTCGGTGGAAGGTCGAGTATATTCATTATTGCTTGAGCATGTTGATGATTTGAATTTGAGCTTGATTTCGTCGAAATTGTATTTCGACTTAGGTGGAAGGTCGAGTATATTCATTATTGCTTGAGCAGGTTGATGATTTGAATTTGAACTTGACTTTGTCGAAATTGTATTTCGACCTCGGTGGAAGGCCGAGTATATTCATTATTGCCTAAGGAGGTTGATGATTTGTATTTGAATTTAATTTTGTCGAAATTCCATTTCGACCTCGGTGAAAGGTCGAGTATGTTCATTATTGACCGAGTATGTTCACTTGATTATTCATTACTGCTCGAGCAGGTTGTTGTTGATTTTGGTTTGTCGAATTTATTTTTCAACCTCAGTGGCAGGTCGAGGATACCCCTTATTGCTCGAGCAGGCTGATTGCTTTTCACTTGGTGATGTATTATCGAATTTATTTTTCGACCTCGGCGGCAGGTTGAGTGTATTTATTATTGCTCGAGCAAGTTGACGTTTTTATTTGACTTCTTTTTGTCAAATGCGATTTTTCAGTGTGAGAGAGGAGTCAGCACTTTCAATCTTCGAGAGGATACACAGCAGGCTTGAATTTCAAATCTTGAACTAGGGGGCGACAGGATGAGGTAACCGGAAAGATTTATTATTAATTGACAAAGCAGAATGTGTAAGTTCAAATTTTCAAATTCAAGACTTTGGAAAATCGGGCATATGGTTTTCGACTGCAGTCTCGGTTTTCGACTTTAACGGTGAATCACTCGACTTCGACCTCAGTGGTCATTCAATTTGCGGCCTCCGTCCTCGGGGTCATTCAATGTTTGACCTCAACAGCAGATCATTCAGTTTTCGACCTTAACGGTCTCTCGCCTCTTGGTTCTCGACTTTCGACCTCAACGGTCTCTCGATTCTCGATTCTGGGCCTTCGACCTCGGCGGTCTCTCGATTACTCGGTTTTCAGTTTTCGACCTCAACGGTCTCTCGACTCTCAGTTCTCGGCTTTCGACCTCAGCGGTCTCTCGATTCTCGACTTTTGACTTCATTGGCGACTACTCGGTTTTCAGTTTTTGACCTCAACGGTCTCTCGAATCTCGGCTTTCAACCTCATCGACGATTACTCGATTTTCAGTTTTCGACCTTAGTGGTCTCTCAATTCTCGATTTTCGACCTCAGTGGTCTATCGTTTCTTGGTTTTCAACCTCAACTGTCATTCGGTTCTTGGATTAGGATTTCCGACCTCAATTTGGTTCTCGACCTGGAGGTAGTATCGAGTTATTCAGTACCCAATCTCAAACACAGTTTTCAGTGCTCAATCTCAGAGACAAATCTTTAGGCATTCGACCCCAGTTTCGGTTCTCGATCTCGGATGCAGATCTTTTGGGTTTCGACTCAAGAGGCGGGTAACTTGGATTTCAATCTCAATGATCATCCCGGCTTTTGATCCTCGACCCTAGCAGAAGCGGGTCACTCAATTTTTGATCTTATTGGTCATCCGACTTCCGATGCTTGACCCCAGTGGCGGGTCACTTAACTTTCGACCTCTACAACCATTCGTTTATCAGTGTTTGACTCCAGCGGCGAGTTGCTCTATTTTTCACTCTTGGATCGAGTTATGCTCACTCGACTAGAGTGGGAGGACTAGATGATATAGCCACGACTAGTACTGTCGACTCAACCGGTAGTATCTGATATAACATGTCATACCCGATCGGTTTTTATGGGTATATATTGAAGAATACGCCTATACATAGGCTAAAACACTTGATATGATAAGATGGGCCAAGCCCAACTTAGGCCAAGCCCAATTTGGAGTATAAGATACACTCCCCCTATAAAAAAGGGGCTAAGGTACTCATTTCATCCATCCTCTACACACTCTCTCCCTACACACTCTCTCTCTCTATATATATATGCCTTCTCATATGAATCCAGTACTGACTTAAACATCAAAGGCCCAAAGCCGGGCACCCCTCCCGGGGTCTCTGGCTTTGGGTTCTTGCAGGTACGGTGACCGTCCGAGTCGAGGGAGCCCAAGTGACATCTTTGTCCCATCATACAACAATATCCTGAAGCCTTCTACTGCCTCTATGTTCTCAACTAAATATGCATTATGTATGAAACTAAATATGCACTAATCAAATAATAAAAAGCCAAGGGCTAGAGCTAAGTTATTTAAACTTTAAATAAATTACAAATAAATCTCAATGATCAATTTGCAATAACTCATAAATTTTTAAAATTGCAACTAAATCCCCAGATATGTCTAATTCTCAAAGTCTACCCACAACCAAAAACATTATTGATCTATCATCTCAGCCAAACGAACAACTGTGTATACCTTCAGTGTATACCTTCAGAAATGACGCAAAAGAGTAAATGGTAAAGATGAGGCATTCTTTTGGGAAATTAAAATTTTATCCCAGTGAGTCCATTCCAGAATGATTCCTATAATGGTAAAACAGGGAACAGACACGAACATCCAGGCAACGTAGAAGAATTACGACTAAGGGAAGGTCAAAGAACTCCAAAGAAGGGGTTATTGACAGCACTGTTTAACTCACTTCCAGCGGAGTGGAGCACCGCAATATCAACTTTCTCTTTAGGAAGATACAAAAACTCTCCCCCTTCCATTTTCTCAAAACCACACAGTTCAAGAAACTCTATGCCTCCTTTCAGTTTTCCAACTCGCTCCTGCAAATCACAATTCAAATGTAATTTACAAAACCAACTTTTGAGGATAACCACAGATATAAGAAGTTAAATACTAAGCGAATACTACATCGCCAAAAATATCGGTCAGAAAATAAATAAGTAAAGAAAGTAGCCAAAATGTAGGTGGCTACCAGAGAAGCAAAATGAAAATCTTATGAGTTGGTAATTAATTTATATTTTTAGATTCATCCTGTATGATCTAGAAAGAACGTTTTTCTGGAAGAATACATATGCTGGAAAAAAAAAAAAAAAATCAATTAGCAGTACAGTTCAACAAATTGCACCTGAAAATTAGCATTTGTGATTCTAATTTTGCGAAATTTCTCCTCATTCGGATTCGTTGCTACATTCTTTGCGAAAGTCAAAAGCGTGTTGAAAGCCGTCTTCACTTTTGCATCATCATCCTATTCAATTAAGAAAACAAAGATACACGACAAAGTATGTCTTACAGACCTAGCAAATAAAAATGACGCTCAGATCGTTGAGTAGATAGTATCAGTCTACACTCAAATCTTCGAACAAATGCCCATAAACGTGCAGCTCATTCATCACAATATGGAGACGCAAAGACAAAACAAAAGCATGTAATAAAGTAATGAGAAAATACAAATTTAACTACAACAAAATGTATCATTTCCATTCACATTTAACAAGGCTGATTATTCTTCCACCACATAAAACCTTAAATGTAATGTTCATGGGATAGTGAAAAGTCACAAGTACAAAGATACAAAACCAAAGTTTGTTTGTTTCCTTTTTTTTTTTTTTTTTTATTAAATGAACATACTAAGTTGTAGTTACCTTATGATTCTGTTTAAGGGTTCTCAGGCACTCCCTCATTTGCTCTGCCTTTGTAGCTGGTCGGACAGGAAGGAAGCTCTGTATTTCAATTTTAAGATACAAAAAAGGGGTAAGACAAGAACAGAGCAGACTACTTCACTGGAAAATCAGGTCAACCAATACCTTTTTTTCCTCCACCACTGGAGCAGAAGATTTTGCAGCAGATGATTCCTCCACGGGCAACCCAAGTTTTCTTCTTCTTTCAGCCTGTCATAACCCAGAAAATCATTTAGTACAAGACCTCAAAAAACAATTATTTATATTTTAAAGAGGATGAAAAGAAAACTATTCAGGTAAAAATCTGTTCTTATTGTCGCTCTGCATGAAAGAAGAATTAATTATTAGGATAAATTGATTGTTACCCCATTTATAGGAACCCTGAATGCATAAACTAGAGCATTAGAATATAATAAATAGAATGTAGAAAAGTGGGTTGCTCTAATGCCCGCTTTAAACATTGGTAAAGGTGAGTAGTTGATACAATAAATCAAACATCAATTAATTACATCATGAGAACCTTATCTTCCTCCAACTTTTGACGAATCTTCTCTCTAGCTCTTCTTTCTTCCTCTTTTTCTGCTTTCCGCAAGGCTAATATACTGTAAGAGAAAACACCCAACCCACTGAGAATATCAAACAATAATGCAGAAATCTGAATTGAAATACACTACAGATAATGGCACACCGTTTTCTTTCATTTTCCTCTTCAATGCGCTTTGCTTCAAGCAGCTCCTTTCCAACTCGAATTCTTTCCTGGGAAAATGTCAACAATGAAATTGCATGAAATAATGCGTATGGAAAAACTGAAAAAAAAAATTGTATAGAAACATAATTATATGTTAATGCTTAGTATGCATATTTATTATCAGTTACAAGATGATATAACAAAAGAAAATTTTCAGCAGTAACTCCATGGATCCCGGATTTCATAGTGTCAATGAATAGAAGCAGGTATTATAAATCTAGAATAGAAGAAATAAAATTAGAATCTACCTTCTCTTTTTCTCTTTCCATTCGCTTTTCTTCCTCTTCTTTCTTCTTGCGAGCACGTTCCCTGAGATAACAAAGTGGCAAGTAGGGGCAACCAGAACGAAAAAATGAATTAATGTAATAATCATAGCATGTCATTGGGCACGAAAAAAGATCATCTGTACAGGACAACAAAAGTCTGAGGATGGTGAAAATATAAGTAGTGCAACCACAGGTTCCACTTTTGGTTACGCAAAGTGCATGAACCAATTGTAATATATACAATGTGCATACTCATTATTAGAAACATGACAAGAAAACAGGGTAAGAACAGCCAGTCAGGGATGCGAAGAATCCAGTTGAAGATCACCTTAATTCTTGTTGTTTCAGCTTAATCTCTTCTGGTGTGAGAGATGGCTTTGGAGCCTGAGGTTGCTTGGAACTAACGGGTACCTGTGCAACAAGGTTAATCATAACTTCATATAATAGCTTCAGAAAAGTACAAATATGTCAACTAATGATTGCCCAAAATAGATGTAAAAACTCATACCAATAGCATTTTATCGATATCTGGGTCATTCTCATGTTCAACTATCCAATTTGCTGCATCCTCAAGGCTACTATTTCCTGGGAGAACCAAAAAATACCAACATCTTATATCTTAGTTTATTAAATATCTCAACAAGTATCAGAAAAACATCAATGGCCTTGACACACTAATAATGTAATTAAACATTAGGAATCTCTCATGTATGTCTTTGTATGAGAGAGACAGAGATAAACCAATATGTGCAACCTAATAACTAGCGAATTATGGCTTAAATAAGACCTACACTTCCCCTCGCCCCACGTCGTCCGACCAATCTGAACAGGCTAATCGACACAACCCTTAAAAAGATACTACAGTGATGACCCATCAAAAGCATATTACCTTTATGCACTTCACTTGGAGAAAACTACTAGCCTTGGTGCAAAAAATGATCGGCAAAGACAAAGGCAGTAGAAAACATCTTACAATGCATGCTACGTGCGTCAATCAACTGACTAATAATAAAACAGATATCAGCATAGTATGGAAGTTTGAAATCATAGATAGTTAATTCTAATCGAGAAAACGAAAAAGACAAAAAACCTTATTCCAAGGAATGAAATTCCTTTCCAGGATCAGACAACTGCCTCATGCTAACCAAGCAAGTCAAACCTCAAAACGTCTACACATATCTACCAATTGGGAGCAACAACAAAGAAAAAAAAGAGAAGAAAGCGTTGCAAAACATCGAAAACACAAAAACAAAAATTCTCCTTAGAGTGATTTACAGTGGACTCGGCAATACACAAAAAGAAATTATAAAAATAGTCAAGTTTATAGCTAATAAGGAGGACATACCAGAAAAATGAAGTGCACGAACAGCCCTTTCTTTGGGAAATCCCATATCCTCAAGTTCTGCTAACAGCTGTTGGCTTACTTCCGGAGCCACCATTTCTAAACAACAAAAAATTATGAGGCAGCTGCACTACGCTGTAGTAAAAACAATCTTTTAAAAGCCACAGAGCCACACATGAATAGAAAAGACTCATCCTAAATAAAGAAGTGTGTCGCAAGTGTTTTTCCCACTTCCTTTATCTTTTTTTTTTTAAAAAAAAAAAAAGGCAGGATTTAAACAATTATCTTTAAGATGAGAAGAAAAATGAACATAAGCTAATAAGCTCTCCAGTTAGGGAAGAGTGATCCAGAAGATGCTTGTACACAACATTATTGGCCATAGTTATAAGAGTCAACAAGTAAACCAAGTTGAGCCCGATCTGGAAGCGTGCCTTTCAAACACAACGTGCAAAAAAAATGTGGTATGGCACAAATCATGAGGCACCAAAAAAGAACTCACCTCACTCGAGCAAGGCACATATTTTTAACAATATTATTCATATCGTTGTCAAGTGATCAAAGAACATGATATCATTTAATAACTTCAAACCATTTGCACCAATCATTATAATCATAACAATTCTTAGTCAAACAACAAAGGTGACGGAGATTTTTAAATCCATGAGGCTACATAATTCAAAATCTAAAATACAAAGCACAAAATCACAGTGCAACGATTCACAAACATCAAAATTTATGACCAAGTCTATTATTTCAACTAGATTCTACCCCAATTTCTAAGGACCATCCCACAAACATATCAGTGGAATATTCTCCACCACCACCTCGCCTGTATGCTCCAACTTCCTCCCTGGTTGATAATAATATGAATCTGCTTCACTGAACCTTTGGAACTGCCGCCAGGATTTGCAGTACCGTCTTCACCTCATTTCAAACCAACGCCTTCGCCATCGGCCCATCACTAAAAACTAAAACTAAAACTAAATCATTGCCGTATCTTCACCTTCATTTTTGTCAATCCCCATTTTTCTGATTAACTACTCAGTGTCATATAGTTTTTAAGTAAAATAGATGGATTTATAGGCTTTCATATGTTTATAAGAACTTTAAATACAAAACGGCCCATAACTGAAATGTCAAGAAAGCCCAAGTCTTCTGACGCGCTCTGAGCACCTGAGTCTAAGAAGGTTAGATTGCACAGGGCATACCTTCAATAACTATATTATGTCCTACCAAACCTATTAAGATTAGAAGACACGTGTCAAGAGATTCGAACTACAAATACTTAACTTGGATCACTTGACAATAAGATAAGGACCAATAAAGTGAAAGCAAAAATGTCCTAGCTGAAGTTTTTAAGGGGCATTACATAGTGCGCACATGAAAAGGCATAATCATATTGACAATCCAAACAAAAAAGTCTAACAATACCTTCTTGTTGACTAATACTACCAAGGCCAGCCTCTTCCATCGATACATCATCATTAAGCTTCGGTGCCTCCAAACTTATAGGCTTTGCAGTCTCAGAAGTCTTATCCACAAATTCAGTATGCCCCGTCCTCTTAGTGTGCAAATCACTCTCCTGAACTCACCAGAAAAATATAGAGACCAGCAAAACCACATCTCTCAAATTGTAAACTATTGAATTAACTCGGTAAATTAATTGGCATCTGTAATGTCAATTTGTTATGCAATTGGCAAAGTAAATAAACAGCCTAGGTCCAATGGAAGAACAACCCTTGATAATGATGGCTCATAATGTTTTCAGGGAAGTACAACTGGCACAGGTCCAATGGAAACACTTCAGAAGCTAGTGTTCAATACATCTCAGTTGAAGACTTGAAGTGAAGGATACAATACAACATATAAGACAATCAGCATAAAGTGAAAAATCAACATTTTTTTCCTAGAACCATCTGAAGTTTGCATTCGGTGACTCGTTTGAAAAATAAGCAATGCCTTAGTTAGGCAGATACAATTGAATTGTAAAGGGAAACGTTCATGGAGAAAATTTGGAAAATGGGTCCTTATCATTAGGATTTTCATGGCTCCCTAGCAACTAAACAAAAAAATCATATTTGAAGCAAACTATTTCACGCACAAGATCCCTAATTTTTATTCAATGGCCCACATCCAATCCATTATTTCTAGTTTCTCAGGCAACCCAACAGGACCACAAGCATTCTGAACAACTGCCAATTACAAGCAAATAGAGTGAAGGAACTTATGGGCAATATCAATTCAATTTCAAAAACAAGCAATTAAGCAACCATCAACTAAAGAACGGTCAATAGCACTTAACAATCAACACAATCACCTCTGGACACGGTACGCACACAATTGACATGAAAAATATAGCAGAACAAACGTACGGTTTTGGAGCGGCAAGGCTTGCCGCAGTCGGAGCAGACTAAATTGAGGACGGCCTCAGTGGATTCAACGAAATTCGCGTGCTTGGTCAGCTCTGCGTGCTCCTGAGCTTCCTCCACAGACTTGAGGAGCGTCCCACAGTCTCCACATTTCAATGAAACGCCCGCCATTAGCAGAATTCACACTCCGACGATATCAGCCACCGACAACCACAAATAGTTTGATCTGTGAGTGGTTTGAGGGAATTAGGGGATAATTTAACCTTGTGTTTGGTTCAATGGAGGGGAAGGGAGGGGAGAGAGAGGGGAAGAGAGGGTAGGGGAAGTGATGTAAATTTTATCTTGTTTGGAGAGAATATTTAGGACGAGAGGGGAGAAGAGGAAAATGATAAACCTTGGTTAAAACATTAAATGAAGGAAAAATAAAATTAAAATAACAAACTTACCTTTAATGTAATAGCATAAAAAAATTTAAAACAATTGAAAATAGAGACTAAATTGTCATTTTACATGCTATTAAAACACTTCCCCTCCAAATCCCTCTAATTTTGGAGGGGATAAAAAGTAAGGGAGGGGAAGGAAAATCACTTAAAAGTTTCCTCTTCCTCCCCTTCTAAATTTGCAACCAAACAAGGAAAAACTAAAATTTTCTATCTCCTCCCTTTCCCTCCCCTCCAAATCCCTCAAACCAAACACTAGCTAAGGGTTGTTGGGTTGGGTTGATTGGGTGTGATATCACACCAATTGTTATGATATCTTGTGTTTATTTTGTTTGGTTGAACTGGTTTTGGCCTTGGAAAATGAGCATGACCCGGTCAACTATCACTCAAATTGTTTATGTGCTACCGGTCATGACGTTGGGATACCCTATCCATACCCTCTCAAAATAAAAGTTCCAATAATATCCCAATTGTTTTTTTTCCTTTCATCTGTTCATCTTATTGCTGTTCTCTCCTCCTCCTCGTCCTCCTCCTCCTCCTCCTCCTCGTCCTCCTCCTCCTCCTCCTCCTCCTCCTCCTCATTTTTCTTCTTCTCTTCTCTTTTTTTTTTTTTATAATAAATTTCATAAAGCAAAAACCAAGAGACTTCAGTTCAAATTTGGTGGATTTGTGTTTCATCGAGCAGGTCGTCGGCGGAGTAGAAGAGGGCCTCGGCGTCCTGAAGCCATAGGCGGCGAGCCTCGTCGGCGGTAAGTGGCGGCTCGAACAAGCAGTACATCGTTGCCGCCTTGATAGCCATCATCGTCTGCCTCTTACTCCTCTTGCTCGGCTTTTCGACCAGGCCCTTGATTTGTTTTTTTCCTTCTTTTTCTTCTTCTTTGCTCAATCGTTTAGGGGAGAATTTGTAAAATTGATGTTCTTCTTCTTCTTCGGCTCGAGCAAGCGGTACTACATTATTTCCCAAATTTTGCTGAAGAAATTTTAATTTATGTAAAAGCTTTATACTGGAGCTGAAAATTTGTTGAAGAAATTTAATTTATGTAAAAACTTTATACTGGAGATGAAGGGCAAACACCAGAAAATTTAATTATAACTAGAGGGTAAAAAAGTAATCTTAACATAAAGCTGTACTTATCAATTATGAACCAAACAAGTTAATATACTTTTTTCTTTTTATCAAAGGATATCACTTAAATTTTTTTTATGGGAATTAATCAAGCTCAATAAATTAAAGTAACAAAACTCACCCTAAATGTTTATGTTAGGTGGAGATGTGGAGGAGGTTAGGTAGACTAGAAAACGATGGATGAGGAATTATTGAGAATCAGATCAAGCGGAAATTGAAAGGATAGACTCCCGGACATACGTACAATACAAGGGAAGAATATACTTGGGAGTCGTCCATATTTACATAATATACGTAGATGTATTCATTTGAAATTTCCAATGATATTTTTTTAAGAGATATTTGCCTCATACTAGCGCATCGCTAGCTCGTGCGATGCATGAAAAGTAATATTCATTGGTTATTGTTATGTTAGATAATGAGGTGAGATATTAGTTACCAATTAACACAACACATATCTCTCCTATATGAACTAGTGTGATACCCGTGCGATGCACGGGGTATACTGTAAATTAATTTTTATTCAAATATTGTTAATCTATTTAAGACAACATGGTAATTATATACGACTCAATATATCAAGCCAGTAAATTTATAAATTTTGTTTGAATATCTTTTTTAATTTATTTTTACAGGTTTTGCCTATTTAATTATAAATCTTACTATTTATAAGTTTATAAAATAGTATCAATATCTAGATTTTAATTATGATGTTGTATACAGATTGCTTACATATACTTGTAAAATTACTGATTATCTTGATCTTATAACTTTTTCAACAAATCATATTTTGCATATTGCTCGATGGCTAACTAATGTTTTAACCTGTATGATTTATTTTCCTTTATTATAATTTTAGATGCACGAAATATTAATTGTTTGATAATTAAATTTAAATTGTAGCAACTTTAATCGCTTATGCAATAAAAAGTTTTCACAGTAAACTATTTATATTTATTTTTAAATTTTTGTTTATATTTATATATTTAATAAATTTATTCAACATATATAATGAATGTATTAATATTCAATTTAAATGTTTAGATAAAATATATATTTCAATTATTATTAAATTTTATAATTTTAATTATTATATTTGACTATATTATCCTATTTACTCATTTTTCTTTATTAAATAGTATATGATAAGAAATATACATTCTTACAACTTAATTGTTTTATTATGCATGTAGATATTTCTAATGTAAAACTTATAATTTTTAATTTCACTCGACCATCAAATAATAATTTTACTAATATATTAAATATAATTTTCAATAGAATATCTAATAAATTAATATATTCAATTGAGATATAATTTTTAATGATTATGTTGACTATATTTTAGCAATTTTTTAATTACTGTAAATTATTCATTAAGTTAATATGATTCAAACAAAATTATTTTGATTATTTGTTAGATGTTTTAAGTGTTTCTGAACTGTTAACATTATTAATGAAATTAATATCAACAACCATGAGAAGATAATATAATTAATCAAATCAATATTTCATAATTTGAATAGTTTTTTAAATTATGTCAAAAAATTACTACGAAATTAATATTAGGACTGATGTGCTATTGCACACTAGACCGGCTCTCCTTGGACCCAATCGTTTGAGCTCTTCAAAACTTGCAAAGACTTCCCGGCGGTAAACCTCCGACGCTCAAGTTAGTGAGGTACCGAAGAGAGTTCAGTTTGTATATTAGGGTTTCTTATGCGGTAAAAAACACCATACTTCTCCATTGTAACCTGCTCTACCTATTTATATGTAGATACTTAGCTTCCTCTCCACGCCTGCCCCCTTATCCGCTTATGTGATAATTATCAGGCCCCATTTAAGCATCAGCCCACCTATTCAATCTGCCTAACCCACTCTTCTGGCCGATTTTGGGCCGCACACTGACAAACTATTATATCTGGCCAACCAACAAACCCGCGTGCATACTCCCGGTTCATAAATCGCACTGACTTCTGTCGGTCTACCCACAATGCTCTCTTTGTGCTACATCATCTAGCCCCCCATTATCAAACGAGCTATTTTCGTAAATGGACTGGTTTGATAATTATTATTCCCATACGCTTGCCCGAGCAATGCATTTATTATACCATATCGGACTTTCAGATCTGACCCCAACCAATCCTCCTACAACGTTACGCGACTAGATCAATCAAGTCTCTAGCCAGGTTACCGAGCAGATGAATGCACCCAGCTACACGGGTCGTCTACCACCAAATCCGGGCAGACACAAAGCGCCAATTATGCGGCTCATTTGCCACAAAACCCGACCATACAATGCGCACACTCTGCCAGAAAATCCGAGCAGGAAAAAATCGCAACTTTGCCACAAAAGCCGAGTAGAACAAATTGTACACTCTGTCTGGAAAAAATCACTCAATCGGCCCCAAAATCCGAGCAGAGAAAAGCCATGCACTTCACCCCAAAATTCGGGCAGAAAAAATCACGCATTGTGCCCCAAAATCCGAGCGGAAAAAATTCACTCATTGTGCCCCCAAAATCCGAGCGGAAAAAATCACTCATTGTGCCCCCAAAACACGAGCAGAAAAAATCACTCATTGTGCGCCTAAAACCCGAGCAGAAAAAATCACTCATTGTGCGCCCAAAACACGAGCAGAAAAAATCACTCATTGTGCCCCAAAATCTGGGCAGAAAAAACTTCTCATTTCGTCCCAAAATCCGAACAAAAAGAACCACGCACTTTGCCCCAAAGTCCGAGCAGAAAAAATCCCTCATCCTAGCCATAAAATCCGGACAGAATAAATCCTTCATTTTAGCCACGAAATCCAAGCAATTCGCGTGTCCGTTTGCTCGAGCAGATGCGCAAGACGCCCTATCACACGGTTCGCTCTCTGCAAAAGCCGAGCAGAAGCAGTTCATGTGCCCGTTCGACCGAGCAGATGCGCACGACGCCCAATCACATGGGTGCTTTTGCTTGTCTACCGAGCCCTTCAAAAAATACCTCGAAATTAGTGACGGTCACCTCATTTTCATCATGACGTCCCATCTCAATAGACTATGAGTAGGACCCTATCCAATCTGGAGATTTCAGGAGTGATTCAATATTCGTATTAGATTTCGTTTTCCGCGGATTATTGTCTTTTGTACCAACGGGTCTACCACGCTTCTGGCGTGGAGCATCTGCAGGATTATTAGATTTTATGGGGACTTCCACACGTTGTGGAGCATTTATTGAAGGTACATGAGATTTGGCCACTCCTTTATGATCAGTAAATGCATCTGGCAGATTATTTGCTAAATATTGCAAATTAATTATATTTTGAACTTCAAGTTCAGTTTGATTAGTGCGTAGATCTAAATATTGTAGATTTTCTACATTCCAAGAAATTTCTCGGCATTTATTTAAGTTTGGGATTTTATCTCCCCCTAATGCCGGAAAATTCTCTTCATCGAATATGCAGTCAGCGTACCTAGCTGTAAATTGATCTCCAGTCATGGGCTCTAGATATTTGAGAATAGACGGAGATTCATAGCCAATATATATGTATTTAACTTTCTATGAGGACCCATAGAGGTACGCTGTGGAGGTGAGATGGGAACATAGACTGCACAACCAAATACTC